CGACTTCGACCCGATTCGGGGCCGGTTCGCTCGCGATCCGACCCGCTTCCGATCCGACTCGATTTCCCGATTCGATCCAGCTCCTGCCTGCCAGGGCGAGGATGCATCTCTCCCAGAGCGCTCTGTCACGCCGTCGAAGCGTTCAGGAGCCTTCTGAGAAGGCCGCGGCTCCCGAGGCGTCCTCCAGAGCCGCTGGACCTCAGAGAGTCTCAAGGTCAGTATCCCCATCCCCATCCACATCTCGAGCCCCACCGTCTCACCACCTCAGTTGGGGATATGCCCCTCGAAGCCCAAAGAGAGCAGCCTATATCCTCATCAGGGGGGCAAATCGGCCGGTGGGGCCCAGCCCACGCTGGTGGGGATGGGGATCGGTTCAACGATTCTCACGAGGCATCCTCACCCCGCTGGCTCCACCCCCCCCTCCTCCTCCTCCGCCTCCTCCTCCTCCTCCGCCTCCTCCTCCCCCTCCTCCCGCTCCTCCTCGTCGTCCTCCTCCTCCTCCTCCTTGGCTCCCCGATCGGCCCCACGCAGCAAGTCGCCAGCCTCAAACATCTCCCTATCTTTCTGATTGGCATCACCTTCTGTCGATGACGATCTTCACGATTTCCCCAGTTTCTGAGGGCGCATCCCTAATTTAGACATCGCCGTTGGGCTTGTCCATCCTGTGGATAGGGATCAGCTCGAGGTTGGTTAGCAGGGAAAGTGTTGCACCTCGTTGCACTTCTGCGTTCCGATTGCGGACCCCCCCGCGTCGCGGCGTTGTTCCAGGGCCAGCCCGGAGCCGAGAGTGTCCCGCGGGGTCCCCGTCTCCGGGAGTTGCAGTGGGTTCATGTCGTGCCGACGCGGTTGCGACCCCGACCCAGGGGTTCAATCATCGAGAACAAATCTAGGCTTCCCAGATCGGGTCGGAGTAGAGGGGGTCGGAGGCTCGCGCCGCATCGCCGATGCATCGGCGATGCTGCTCTATGTGGAGCCCGATTTGCTTCACGCCGACGTTGCCGATGCACCGCCGACGTCGACTATGCATTGCTGGTGCATCGCCGTTGCATCGCCGATGCATCGCCGATGTATTGGCGATGCGGCGCGATCCTCCGACCCCATCTACTTCGACCCCATTTAGGAGGCCTCTAACAAAATAATCTCTAACTCTGCTGACAGAATGAAGACGCAGCCTAACTGAGGTCCCCGTCCTTACATCAGGGACCATCATTCTGGGTGGCTCGTCCTGGCACGTACGTCTGCTGAAAAGACCTCCTGGTCCCGAAAGTTTTGGTACTCTGAACTGGGGTGCGCTCCCAAAGGCTTAGGGGTCCTTGAATCCCGAATCAAGGCGTAACGCCGCCAACGGTCCAGAATCGGCCAAGATGGAACGATCGGAAGGCCGCCGATCGTTCGAGGTTGACCGATCCACGCGGTGTCGGGAAGCAACGCCTGGGTAGTCACGACACGCGGCCGACGTGTTTTCTCCGTCCTCCTCTTTCTGAGGAGATGAGCGACGTCTCCACGGAGTCTCCACGAAAGACGGAAGTAAGAGAGGTCGATTGTGTGGACATCGGCGCGCAAGTTGCCCGCGCAAGGGCGCGCAAGCTGCCCAGCAATGTGGCGTGCCACGCTGGCTGCCCGCACACGCCAGCGTACCAGTTGAGGTCGCTCTGCCATCTCGCGTGAGACCTGTTTCTTTTTCTTCGCCCACACGCTTCCACGCACAAGCATCTGCGGACCACGTGCACCATCGCTTGCCAGGTGCACGGAGGACTTCAACGGTGCGCAGCTGAAGGCGCCATCGGGGGGATGAAGAGGAGAAAGAGCGACGCGAGGAGAAGGGGTAAAAGGAGGAGGTGGAGGAGCAGGAGTCAGGAGGGAGGAGTGAGCAGTGAGGGGCGTGAAGTGAGGATGAGGAGGAGGGGAGGAAGGAGTGAGGGGGGAGGAACATGATTCGACGCGGAGATCTTGAATGTGCATCTCAGGTCCTAGGATTCCCGTTTGAGGGTGTCCAAGTAAGAGTCTTAGTTTGTCGAAGCCAGGCAAACGGCCTGAGATATCCACACAGTTTGGGCGCGGCAGGACAACTATCCCCACCCCTGGCGGCTTCATGTTGGGGTGCTCAAGTGGCACGTCTTCTACAACGCGATAAGCCTGAGGCTCTGAACAGAGAGAAGCCTGATCAAACAGGCAAGGCGACTGAGGCATCCCCACCATCTTGGCGCGAACTGGCAACTGTCCCCCCCACATCTGGCGGCTCGGCTTCTCCTGACGTGCTAAAATGCCACGCCTGCTACATCGCGATGGTCATGGGGCTCTGAAGAGATAGAAGTCTTCTTAACCGCACAGGCCAATCGCCTCCGGCATCCCCGCAATCTGATCGCAGATTGGCAAGTGTCCCCACCCCTGGCGGTTTCCGTGCTCAAATGCCACGCTTGTTGCATCGCGATGAGTTAGGGTCGACAAAGTGACGCCTGCTCAACCAAACAGGCGAACCGCCTGAGACATCCCCACAACGTGGGCGCGAACGGGCAAATCTCCCCACCCCTGGCGGCCCCTTCTTAAAGCGCTTCAATGCCCCGCCCGCCACCGCGATGAGCATGGTGCCCTGAAAGAAAAGACACGCCGTGCCAACCAAACAGGCACATGGCCTGAGACATCCCGACCACCTGGCCGCGAAGTGGGAACTGCCCCAAAACCTAGCGGCTCCTGCTTGGGATGCTCAAGCGCACCGCCTGCTGCAAGACTATAGGCTTTGGGCCCCGGAAAGGGAGGAGGGAAGGGAGTTGGAGGAGGAAGAGGAGGAGGAGAAGACACGCCTGACCAACCAAACAGACAAAACGCCTGAGACAGCCCCACAACTTGAGCCCAGCTTAGCATGTGTTTCCACCCCTGGCGCTTCCTCCTTGGGCTGCTCAAGTGCAACGCCTGCTACATCGTGGTGATCATTGGGCTCCGTCTGGGTGAGTGATCGGCGTACGAGTCTGGATATGATCTGGCTCCGCATCTAAGTGCCAGCGTGTTTGTGTGTGAGTGTATCTGAGTATGAGAGACCTGAGTGTGTTGAGTCTGCGTGTGAGTGTACCTGGGTGTGGGTGAATCCAAGTCGAAGGGTAAACGTGTTCTGAATGTCGTGAGAAAGGCAGGGAAGAGAGAGAGAGAGAGGCAAGCAGAGAGACACAAAGACAGAGAGAGAAAGAGAGAGAGGCACAACAACAAAGCGACAGCGGTATTCAGTGAGGAGGCGCATGCGTCCGAGTAATATCAAGAACCCCGTCTTAGGATGGCAAGGTGGGGGAGGAACTGTTGACAGTCCACCTGCTTCACCCTGCTTGCGCGCCGTCAGGTGCAAGGACTCCGCTTGTTTGTTCGAAGGGGGAATACGGGGGAGGACTGGAGGAGAAGGGGAATGAGAGAAGTGACCGGGTGAGTTGTTAAAGCGGCCAGATCGGACGAGTGTAAGAATCAATCGTCGCATAGGTTCGCATTGGTATTGGATCGTTGTCCTACCCAGAGAACGAAGAATGCTGGCGCGCGGTCTTGCTTCCGACGGCTTGGCGAGGGGACAGTTAGGCGCGCCGTGCAAAGGCGGGAGCGGAGTTTCAGTAAAGCGTTGCGCGGCGCTGCGTCATTTCTCTCTTTCGGGCGCACGAGTGTCCGAAGAAGGCGTCGAAGTCGAAGCATGCAGCGCGCCAGAGCAGCACACGTCTACACTACCGCGGCGCAGAGCTTGGGCGAGCAGCTTCGCCCTGCTTTTGCGCTGCCCCGCTGTCGCTGTAGCTTTTTTCATGCGGTGCGGCGAGCGAGACGTGCGCCGCGCTCGCGCGGGAACGCCACTCCCAGGCGACATGTGCACGGAGGTTTGGGCGAAGGCGACGAGTCGCCGTGAGGTCGCGGAGGCCCCCCAAAGTATACACGCTGCGCAGAGGCTGGACACACACACACACACACACACCGTTAGGCAATAGCTGCGCGGCACCAGGGCGAGAGCCACGTCTTCGTCCGCGCGCGCGTCGACGCACGGGCGTGCGAGGCGAATCGACGGATGGGCTTAATGGACAGATGGTCCATGCTGGAACGGGTAACGCACGCTCTGTTGTGCGTTTTGATTGGTTGGATTGTCCCCCCAAAGGGCCAGTTGTCGGCCTGTCATGTGGCAGCATGACAGGATGCGCCGATATGACAAACAGACGGGTTTGGGGGGATGCAGCTGCTGCGCGGCCCGCCCACTGGCATTTGGCTAGTTGGTCCGAAGCCAGCGTACAAATTGCAAGAGTGACCTTGACGATGACGTGGACGAGGAGGAAGTTGAGGAGGAGCAGGAGGGACATGAGGGGGAGAAGGAGCAGGAAGAAGGGGATGCGTAGCAACGCGGGTAATGAGAGGACCCATGCGAATGATGATGATTCGGGCAAGCAGCATGAGGATGCTTCTGGCACATGGTGTATGAATCAGATCGATCGCCCACGAAGCTTTCGGATATGGTTTCTATTCGTCCGTACTGCTGCCGCGGGACATCTGCGAAGCCAGTGTTTCGTGATGGCATTGCTTACCAAAGATAGGGACCACATGTGCTGAGCGCGAGAGCGCTCTCCAGGCAGAATGCGTAAGGGGCACCATGGGTGGTGGTACTAAGGGGTGTTGCAAAGGCAACATGCATTGGCAAATTACGTGTTACGTCGAGCGCAACCTGAAAGTGTGAGTAGTGGAACGGAAAGCACAACATACAGTCAACCCGCATAGCAAGAAGGGGCAACCTTCCCAAAGGTACCCTTGCATCCTTGCCCCTTCGGCCCATCCTTAGCGACTGTCGCTGGCCAGCCTCGTTCGAAACACGTTAACATGGCCCTCCAATGCCCTTGCATCCTTACCAGGCATCCTTATGATACGGGTCCACTGTACATTGACGCGAGGAATGCAATCCCAGAATCCGCCCCCGAGTCGAGCTAGAGTCCCGATTGTTTCTGGGCTTCGTCCGATGTTCTGCCACTATGTCGACAAAAAAACGCTGCCGTTCTGCTCGAAGCGTCCTGCTACGGCGTGCACCTGCCTCACTGACACAGCGCGCGCCATGGCGACCGGCGCCGAGGCACCCCCCTTGCGCCGCAGGGTGGTGATATTCGACATCGGAGGTGTATTGGCTAACAGTCGGCGGCGAGCGAGGGGAGGATGAGAAGGAGAAGGCCTTCTCAGAAGGCGGCGGGACTTCTCAGAAGCCCTCGCGCCTTCTGAGAAGTTTTTGTCCGTCTTCGGGGAAGGCTGAGAAAACTTCTGAGAAGGCCCGGGGACTTCCGAATCTTCTGAGAAGGCCTTCTCCTTCTTACTTCTCCCCCCCTCGCTCGCCGCCGAGACAGAAATCCCAGCAGCTGCCCGAGAGAAAGAGAAATATAGCCCCTTGGAGGGGGGGGGTCTTTGAAGGAACACAGTGGAGGCCCAGGCCAAGAAACACCCTGCTTGCCTCCAGGGTGCCTTGGGCTTCTGGGGTTTCGATTGTTTTGCGATGGAAGGCGTGAGGTTCCCGCACCAAGAATCCGTGGACGTCCTGGGGTCTCAGGATTGGGTTTCTTGTGGAAGGTCTCTTGTGGCCGGGCCCCTACTGTAGGAGCAGCCCGTTCGCCCCCCTGCTAGTTCGATTCCGTGACCCGCGGCGACCAACAGCGGCACAACCACAAGGCGTCGATGTGGTCGGGCAGGAGATGTGGGACACGCCTTATGATGTTTCAACCTATTTTATTCACCAGAAAGAATTTCGAGTATCGAGAGGTGCCGTAAGTTGAGGGTTTTCACGTGTCGGGCCCTGGGAGGCGATCCTCGTTCGACACTGTTTCGATACTTTCTTGGGGGCTCGAACTTGTTTCTGAAATGTGGTCCTCAAGTACGCTGGGAGCAACATAAGACACGCCGTTCCATCTCTGGAAAGAGACAGACGCTGGCGCCGCTTGCGAGCTCCGTGCGCGGCAGCCCGCCCCCCCCGCGCCACGCAGGCGCAGCCCCTGGCCTCCAGCCTCTGCTCCTGGCGCCACCCAGGTGTCGTGGCCGACTCGCCCATCGTGGCGATCAAGCAGTTCTGCCGCCGCAGGGGCATCGGCGACCTGAACCGCATCTTGGCCAAGAGCCCCACGTTCGACGCCTTCATGCGCGGTGCCGTGCCAGCGCCGCAGTTCCCGGCCGCCATGCTCGCGGAGTGCACGGACACTCCTCCTGCTCCCCCTCCTCCTCCTCCTCCTCCTCCTCCTCCTCCTCCTCCACCTGCTCCTCCTCCTCCTCCCTCTTCCTCCACCTGCTTCTCCTCCTGCTCCTCCTCCTGCTCCTCTTCCTCCTGCTCGTCCTCCTCCTCCTCCTCCCCCTGGGCAGCGACGAGCGAGGCCAGAGCCCCAGCTCGAGGCCCAGAGCTCGGAGCACCCCAGGCCTGGGGCCCGGAGCTCGGTGCAAGCCCAGGCCCAGGGCCCAGAGCACCCCAGGGCTCGCGGGTCGGAACCCCACGGCGCGAGAAGCTGATTGCACCGGTCGGGCGGGGATACACCCTGGGCGATGCTTAAGAAAACTTACGTTTTCCGCCAGGGTCTCCATTATTCTTGATGTTTCAATGTAATTACTAAGATTTTGATAGAAGTTATGGGTTTCTCTTTAAATTCTGAGACTATGAATGTCTTGACCCATGTTTTCATAAGCATTTCGCAGGGTATAGAACGGGCATAGACTCGTTCCGGAGCCTTTTTAGAGCGTTCCGGGACGCTGTGAGAACGCTCGATGGCGCCAGATATGTCCCCCAGAGCCGCCGGATTTCAGAGGGCCCCTGATTCATCCCTGTCCAACTTTGTCCATGTGCCGGCCTCGTATGGACCTGAGGCCCAGAGCACCTCCAGCAGCCTGCGGTTTGGATGGCCCCTCCTTGAGCTTTTCTTTGGACTCAGGCAAATGCACTTGCATGGCATCCGCCCCCCGCCGCCTGGTCCAACAGCGCTGGGCAGAACAGGCGTGCAAGCGTGTCCCAACCCGCGTGAAGTGCAGATTCACTGTCGGGCCGCACCACGCCCTTCCCTCCCGCTCCCCCTCCGTGCCAGTACGCCTGCCAGAAATCTAGGAGAAGCACTGCATCGGCGGACGGCCCCTCCACTGCTCCCTATAAGCCGCGAATCCCTGAGGAGTCTGGCTTGGCAGAGGGCGCGGCGCTCGGAGTAGACAGGGGAGCGGAAAAGTACAAAAACAGGGAAACTCTGAGGGCCGCGCGGGTTGCTTGGATCCGCACTGGACCCCCCTCCCTGGCGCGCGGGGGGGTGGGGCCCCAGCGCCGATCCGAGACATCCGCGCGGACCTCCGAGTCATCATGGTGATGTCAGTGTCCGTTCCCCTGGTGGAGGGCTGGCAGGGCGTGCTCGCGCTCCTCGAGCAGACCGGCCTTGGGGGGAGCCCCTCACAGCGGCATTTGCCGCAGGGCAGGTCCTCTGTCTCAGTATGGTCTGTGCCGGGCGAGGCTCTGCCACCGTCTTTGCGCTGCTCGGGAGGATGTCTCCTACATTTCGCCCAAAATCCCCCTGTAGGGGGACATGCCTGACCTAATTCTACATCTAACTAGCTGGCTGGGGTGCCCCCCCTTTAGAACAAGCAAGCACATCGAGGATAAAAGGAACGAACAACCCTGATGACAGAGTGAAGACTTGGGTCTGCTTCGGTTCCCGTCCCTGCATCATCTGGGTGGCTTGGTTCGACGCATCTGCTGAACAGACCCCCCTTATCCTTGAGTTCCTGGACCCTCCGAGGTCAGGTCCCCTCCCAAATGCTTAGGGGTCCTCTCATTGCCAGTCCCAGGCGGCACTCGTGCGGGCAAGATGGAGATCCGTGTCCACGGCGTCTTGCCACTGCTGGGGCGGGCGCGCCAGCAGGCCGAGAGGAGCAGTGGACAGCGACGACAAGTCTGGCCCCTGGTAGGGCCCGATGGTTGCACGCTGGCCGTTGAGAGTAGGTATTTCTGGATTCCCAGATTCCAATCTACTTGAAGCGCCTGTCAGCTTCAATGATCGAGTGGCTTCACCTTTTCCGTCCTCCTTCGGGGGCGGGCGGAGACGCAATCTACTGCCAACGCCTTCCTACTCCATGTTTCTACCTGCTTCTCCCGACCGCTGGGTATTTGCTGCGCCTCGGGTGCCCCGGGGGAGGGAGCCCGAATCTCCAGGCAGGGCCGCCTACGATCCGATTCCATGCGACTCGATTCGCCAACCAGGGCCGCGATTCCGATTCGATCCGATTCGGCTCCGTTCACCGACCCAGGGCCAGCCAGAGCCAGGCGCAGCGATCCGGTCTCGGTTCGAATCGGGACGATTCGCTGGCGATGCGACCCGCTTCCGATCCGATCCGACTCGATCTTGCGCAGGTTTGCCAGGATGCAGTGGATTTGATGGAAGCGCGAACTCTGCAACGCGGTTTCTGTGCGGGTTCGATGCGCGGCGGCCGAGACATCATGGAACGTCTGCCCGCGACGCGGCTGGTCTCCTACCAGCTCGGCGCACCTGGTGAGTTCGAGTCTGATTTGGCACACTTTGCACAACTGGATTCGCATGGATGCAGTGGATATGGTCAGCCACGCGCAAGGGGGTGAGCGGAGGGGGGAGGGCTTTGAGAAGCACCCTTGCGTCTTAGAAGGCGCCAGCCTGATCTATAGATGCAGGGCCGGCACATTCTGAGAAGCTCCCTGCTTTCTTCCACCCTCTTGTGCGGGCGGATTATATGGATATACAGTCAACCCGCATGGTAAGTATGAGCGACGTTTCAAGGTTTCCCTTGCATCTTTCCCCTTCGGCCCATCCTTGGCCGATTTCTCTGGCCGCGCCCCGCCCGCAGAGTGTCCACATGGCCTTCCAAGGCACTTGCATCCTTACCGCGCGTCCTCATTATGCGATTTCACTGTACAAGTTGCCCGCACCTTGCCCGACAGCACTCCCTCCCCCCCCCGCCTCCTGCGGTTCCTGCCTCCGCTCTTCCAGTCATCGAGGAAAAAAGAACCGCTAACCCTAATCACACAGTGAAGACGTGGCCTCACTGAGGTCTCCATCTTTTCATTAAGGATAATAGCTGTAGGCAGTTTGGTGCGATACATCTGCAGAAAAGAGCCCCTCCCCCGAACTTGTGGCGTCCCATACTGGGATAGCAGCGCAACCCAATCGCACTTGAGGCGTCCTCTTGTGGCATCCAAGACCGCATAGCCATAGCAGCGCAGTCTACGGCGCGTGAAAGGTCTTGGGAGACCCTGGCAAGGACGCTGGCAAGCATGCCTGGGAAGCTCGCAATTTCGAGAAAGAAGCCTCGCAGGAGCTTCCGTGGGGCCTCGAAGTAGCTGCGGCGAAGGCTTTCGACACTCGTACTGGGAACGAGTAGAACAATGCAGCCTTGGACAGAGCCTAGCGTAGCCGTGCCTGCCAGCTTCTTTTCTTACACCCCTCTTAGTTCTCCAAGGCGCTATCTAGGACAAAACCCCCATATCAGGGCGCATGAAGGGCGTTCGACGGTCTGTCGAAGAACTCTGGAGGCTCCTGTGGAGAGCTTCCGAGAGGCTTGAAGTGACGCTTGAAAGTAGACCGGGAAAGTTTGAAAAGGAAGCTTCGAAAGAGCTCCCAAGAACCTTCCAGAGATCTGCGGGGAAGGCTTTCGGCACGCTCATTGGGAACGAGTAGGAAAACGCTCTCAGCTTCAGGCAGCTCTCTGCGAGGGTGCTTGCCCGGAAGCCTTGGAGAGGGGTTGGCGTGGCTTTGCTTGCCAGCTTCGCATCTAGCAGCCCTCTTAGCTCGCCAAGGAGCTATCCGGGAAGGCCTAGAGGTTGACACCAGCACCAATATCGGCGGTGTGCCTCCACGGAGGGAAGGAGATGTCGATCTCGGTGCTGGTGGTAGGATTCTGGCTTCCAGGGTGACCGACATATTACCACCAACACCGGAATCTGGGATCATGGTCCCCGTGTGGAGGCACCCCCCCTGTGTTGGTGTTGGTGCCCATTTTCAGGCCTCCGATTGTGTTCCTCTACCATCCTTCGCCGCTGAGGTTATGATGTTCCAACCGGCTTCAGCTTGATGCACCAGAAAAACATGTCGAGCACCAAGAACCATTGAATCTGGAGGGTCTTCACGTGTCGGGCTCTCGGAGGCGATGATCGTTCGACACCGATTCGATAGTTCTCTGGATGCTCGAACTTGTTTCTGGGACTTGGTCCGTAAGTGCAATGGGGACAACATCGCGCTCAGGGTGCTCTCTCATTCCTCTGCCTCCTCCCCAGACGAGCGGAGAAAGGAGCGGGGGGGAAACGGGGCCTGCGGCAGATTCGCGCCGCGCTGTCGCGGCGGCGACGCCAGCGAGGGCGTTCCAGGTGGAATGCCTTGGCTTTCGGAACGCGGCCGGTGGTGTTGCAGATCGAGCAGCCCGGGCGGTGCCAGAGGCCAAGGCCAGCGTCACCACGACGGTGACCTCCTGGGACCGCCGTCTGGTGGTTGTGGACGGGTTCGGGCGACGAGCACTACACGCACATCAGTCACCTCTGGCCGCGCCCCTCCGGGGCTTTGGAGCGGTGGAGCTGCCTTCCGGGCCAAGCCGGGAGGGCGTAGTCGCTGCTCCTGGCCCCAGGATGGGCTTCGTGGCCCCTGGCCAGGAGCAGTGAATCCGTCTCCGCCTTCTTACCCTGACCCTTCCCTCCGCCTTTCCTCCTCCTCCTCCTCCGCCTCCTCCTCCTCCTCCTCCTCCTCCTCCTCCGCCTCCGCCTTCTCCTCCTCCTCCTCCTCCTCCTCCTCCTCCTCCAATCCTCCTCCTCCGATCCTCCTCCTCCATGCCTGACTCCTCCCTGCCGCCCCGCGGGCGGATGCCGTCTGGGGGCTCCCCCGCCCCTCGGCCGCTCATGCTGCGGTGTGTCCGTCGGCTGCGGGAAGCGGGCCTGACGGTCGCCGCGCTGACGAACAACTACGCCCCGGGCCCGCCCAGCAGCGAGGCGGAGAGGATCCGCCGGGAGGAGGAGCACGCTGCGTTTGCTGCCCGGTTCGACCACTTCATTCGGGGAACCAATCGTCGCGTAACGCCATTCTTCTGAGGAGGGGGAACCACACACACAGAGACAATGAATCGCCGATTCCCAGGAAAATGCGGAAAAGATGGGGAGTGGGGGAAAGACGGAAACCCAGAACATATTTGGAAATATGGGGAATCCTGGGATTTTTGTTAATTTCCCCACATGTTTAGTGGGGTTTGGGTTTTTTTCCTTCCCGCGTCGCACCAGCATCTCCTCCTCACCCCTCCTCATCCTTTTCCTTCTCACGCAGCACAACACAACACAGCGCAGCGCAGCACAGCACAGCACAGGTCAGCACAGCACAGCACAGCACAGTTTTGGTTTTCATCCCTGCCGCGTCTCCTGCAACGCAGCGCAGCGCAGCACAGCACAGCTCAGCACGGCACAGCACGGCACAGCACACAGCACATCGACACACAGCACGTACGCATCACAGCACAGCACAGCATTGTCCGACACAGCTCAGCTCAGCACAGCACAGAACCGCACAGCAAATCTCATCTCAACACAGCACAGCTCACCCGCGAAGCTCACTCACCTCCCTTGCGGGCTCGCGAAGCGTGGCAGGCGTAGCATATTCTCGACACCACAGGGGGTGCGCAGGGGGTGGTCTCATCGCGGCCGCTATCCGTGACGGTCGTCCATGGCACAGCAGGCATGGCAGATTCTGGACACCAGAAGTGGTGCGCAGGGGGTGACTCTCATGGCGGCCGCTACCCGTGACGGTCGTCCATGGCACAGCAGGCATGCCATATTCTGGACATCGTAGGGGATGTGCAGGGGGTGGTCATTCACCCCGGCCGCTATCCGTGACGGTCGCCCATGGCACAGCAGGCATGGCAGATTCTCGACACCATAATAAGGGGGTGCGCAGGGGGTGGTCTCTCATCGTATCTGCTACCCGTGACGGTCGCGCATGGCACAGCAGGCATGGCAGATTCTCGACACCATAGGGGGTGCGCAAGGGGTGGTCTCTCACCCCAGCCGCTATCCGTGACGGTCGCGCATGGCACAGCAAGCGCGGCATATTCTCGACACCATAGGGGGTGCGCAGGGGGTGGCCTCTCACCGCGGCCGCTATCCGTGACGGTCGTCCATGGGACAGCAGGCATGGCATAGATTCGACACCATAGGGTGTGCGCAGGGGGTGGTCTTTCACCGCGGCCGCTATCCGTGACGGTCGTCCATGGCACAGCAGGCATGGCAGATTCTCGACACCATAGGGGGTGCGCAGGGGGTGGTCTCTCGCCTTGGCCGCTATCCGTGACGGTCGTCCACGGCACAACGGTATCGGCGGGGCAACGGCCGCCAACATCAGCCTCACATGTTTCACTCCAGCGACCACCACCCCAGCCATAAAATAAGTATGTGGTTTCCTCGGTAGCGTAATTACGTGTGCCCCAGGGCACAGCAGGCATGGCATATTCTCGACACCAGAGGGGGTGCGCAGGGGGTGGTCTCGCACCGCGGCCGCTCTCCGTGACGGTCGTCCATGCCACAGCAGGAATGGCAGATTCTCGACACCATAGGGGGTGCGCAGGGGGTGGTCTCTCACCGCGGCCGCTATCCGTGACGGCCGTCCATGGCACAGCAGGCATGGCAGATTCTGGACACCAGAAAGGGTGCGCAGGGGGTGACTCTCATGGCGGCCGCTACCCGTGACGGTCGTCCATGGCACAGCAGGCATGCATATTCTGGACATCGTAGGGGATGTGCAGGGGGGGGTCATTCACCCCGGCCGCTATCCGTGACGGTCGTCCAGGGCACAGCAGGCATGGCAGATTCTCGACACCATAATAAGGGGGTGCGCAGGGGGTGGTCTCTCATCGTATCTGCTACCCGTGACGGTCGCCCATGGCACAGCAGGCATGGCAGATTCTCGACACCATAGGGGGTGCGCAGGGGGTGGTCTCTCACCCCAGCCGCTATCCGTGACGGTCGCGCATGGCACAGCAAGCGCGGCATATTCTCGACACCATAGGGGGTGCGCAGGGGGTGGTCTCTCACCGCGGCCGCTATCCGTGACGGTCGTCCATGGCACAGCAGGCATGGCATAGATTCGACACCATAGGGTGTGCGCACGTGGTGGTCTCTCACCGCGGCCGCTATCCGTGACGGTCGTCCATGGCACAGCAGGCATGGCAGATTCTCGACACCATAGGGGGTGCGCAGGGGGTGGTCTCTCGCCATGGCCGCTATCCGTGACGGTCGTCCAGGGCACAACGGTATCGGCGGGGCAACGGCCGCCAACATCAGCCTCACATGTTTCACTCCAGCTACCACCACCCCAGCCATAAAATTATTCACTGCGTGGGGATCCCCATATGTGCATCTCCTTGCTGGCGCTCCCTTGGTGGTGGGACTCGGTGAGGACGAATCTGGATTTAAGTGTGACTGAGCTGCCTCTCTCTCTCTCTCTGCTCTTTCTGTCTCTCTCTCTGTCTCTCTGCCCTCTCTGTCTCTGCCTCTCTTTCCCTGCCTCTCTCTCTCTCTCTGCCTCTCTCTCTGCCTCTCTCTCTCTGCCTCTCTCTCTCTGCCTCTCTCTCTGTGCCTCTCTCTCTCTGCCTCTATCTCTGCCTCTCTCTCTCTCTCTCCTCTCTCTCTTCTCTCTATTCTCTCTCTGCTCTCTCCTCTCTCTCTCACTCTCCCTCTCTCTCTCTCTCCCTCTCTCTCTCTCTCTCGCTCTCTCTCTTCTCTCTCTCTCTCTCTCTCTCTCTCTCTCTATCTCTCTCTCTCTCTCTTTCTCTCTCTATATCTCTCTCTCTCTTCCCTCGCTCTCTCTCTCTCTCTCTCTCTCTCTCTCTCTCTCTTTCGCTCTCTCGCTCTCTCTTGCTCTCTCTCGCTCTCTGTCGCTCTCTCTCGCTCTCTCTCTCTCTCTCGCTCTCACTCGCTCTCTCTCGCTCTCTCTCGCTCTCCCTCGCTCTCTCCCGCTCTCTCTCTCTCTCTCTCTCTCTCTCTGCTCTCTCTCTCTCTCTCTCGTCTCTCGCTCTCTCTCTCTCTATCTCTCTCTTCTCTTCTCTTCGCTTCTCTTCTCTCTCTCTCTCTCTTCTCTCTCTCTCTCTCTCTCTCTCTCCCCCCCCCCTCTCTCTCCACTTTCTCTCTCTCTCTCTCTCCTCTCTCTCTCCTCTTCTATCTCTCCTCTCTCTCTCTCTCTCTCTCTCTCTCTCTCTTCTCTCTCTCTCTTCTCTCTCTTCTCTATTCTCTCTCTCTCTCGCTCTCTCTCTCTCTCTCCTCTCTCTTCTCTCTTCTCTCTTTCTCTCGCCTGTCCTCCTCTCTCAACTCCCCTCTCTCTCTCTCTCTCTCTTCTCTCTCTCTCTCTTTCCGCTCTCTCTCTCTCTCTCTCTCTCCTCTCCCTCTCTCTCGCTTCTCTCTCTCTCTCTCTCTCTTCTCTCTCGCTCTCTCTCTCTCCTCCTCTCTCTCTCTCTCATCTCTCTTCTCTCTCCTCTCTTCTCTCCTCTCTCTCTCTTCTCGCTCTCTCTCTCTCTCTCTCTCTCGCTCGCTCGCTCGCTCGCTCTCTCTCTCTCTCTCTCTCTCTCGCTCGCGCTCGCGCTCGCGCTCGCGCTCGCGCGCGCTCGCGCTCGCGCGCTCTCTCTCTCTCTCTCTCGCTCTCTCCCGCTCTCTCTCTCTCTCTCTCTCTCTCTCTCTCTCTCTCTCTCTCTCTCTCTCTCTCCTCTCTGCTCTCTTCGCTACTGGCTTCTGACGGAGTCTGGGTTAGGTGAGCCTGAGTGTGGGTGAGTCTGAGTATGGGTACGTCTGTGTGTGCCTGACTCTGAAGAAATGAATCTGAGTGTGAGTGAGCTTGTGTATGAGTGAGTCTGGGTGCGAGTCTGAATCCCAATGGTGCCCCTGGCAGTGTCTGGCGACTAGGAGGCCCGGGTCGACTCCTCTTTGGGAAGCCAAAATGCTGCCCCTGGCAGCGTTTGGTGACTATGAAGCCCCTGGTGGACCCCCCCTGGGGCTCCCAAATGATGCCCCTGGCAGCGTTTTGTGACCATGAGGCTCTCAAGAGAGACATGTTGGGGAGGCCAAACGGCAATTTTAGCTGAGACGTCCCACCAAAATCGGCGCGAACGGGCTCGTGAGATCAGCCAGGGTGGCTCCCCCTTGGGGCTCCCAAATGATGCCCCTGGCAGCGTTTTGCGACCATGAGGCTCTCAAGAGAGACATGTTGGGGAGGCCAAACGGCAATTTTAGCTGAGACGTCCCACCAAAATCGGCGCGAACGGGCTCGTGAGATCAGCCAGGGTGGCTCCCCCTTGGGGCTCCCAAATGATGCCCCTGGCAGCGTTTTGTGACCATGAGGCTCTCAAGAGATACATGTTGGGGAGGCCAAACGGCAATTCTAGCTGAGACGTCCCACCAAAATCGGCGCGAACGGGCTCGTGAGATCAGCCAGGGTGGCTCCCCCTTGGGGCTCCCAAATGATGCCCCTGGCAGCGTTTTGTGACCATGAGGCTCTCAAGAGAGACATGTTGGGGAGGCCAAACGGCAATTTTAGCTGAGACGTCCCACCAAAATCGGCGCGAACGGGCTCGTGAGATCAGCCAGGGTGGCTCCCCCTTGGGGCTCCCAAATGATGCCCCTGGCAGCGTTTTGTGATCATGAGAGAGTGTGAGTGTGAGTGAATGTGACTGTGAGTGAGTCTGAGTGAGAGTGAGTCTCATATTATCTTATCGAGTCCTATCTTATCTTACCTTTATTACCCTCTATCTTATCTTATCTTGAAATCTCTTATCTTGTCTTAGCTTATCTTATATCAACTCCTCTTATCGCATCATATCTTGTCTTATCTTATTACTCCATAGGGTGTCTTATTTTATATATTATCCTACCTTGTCATATATCTTATTTTACCTTATCATATCTTGTGCTATCTTATCTTATATTGTAGTATCTTATCTTGTCTTGTCTTATCTGGTGATTATCATTGGGAGGAGGGAGGCGCGAGCGGGAGGAAGGAGGAAGGAGGAGCAGTGGGAGGCGTCAGAGTAATAACAAGAACCCCAATCCTTAGGATATGGGGAATAAGTATGTGGCTTCCTCGGTAGCGTAATTACGTGTGCCCCAGGGCACAGCAGGCATGGCATATTCTCGACACCATAGGGGGTGCGCATGGGGGTGGTCTCTCGCCATGGCCGCTATCCGTGACGGTCGTCCAGGGCACAACGGTATCGGCGGGGCAACGGCCGCCAACATCAGCCTCACATGTTTCACTCCAGCTACCACCACCCCAGCCATAAAATAAGTATGTGGCTTCCTCGGTAGCGTAATTACGTGTGCCCCAGGGCACAGCAGGCATGGCATATTCTCGACACCATAGGGGGTGCGCAGGGGGTGGTCTCGCACCGCGGCCGCTCTCCGTGACGGTCGTCCAGGGCACAGCAGGGATGGCAGATTCTCGACGCCATAAGGGGGTGCGCAGGGGGTGGTCTCCCACCGCGGCCACTATCCGTGACGGCCGTCCATGGCACAGCAGGCATGGCATATATTCGACACCGTAGGGGGTGCGCAGGGGGTGGTCTCCCACCGCATCCGTTATCCGTGACGGTCGTGCATGGCACAGCAGGCATGGCAGATTCTGGACATCGTAGGAGGTGCGCAGGGGGTGGTCTCTCATTGCGGCCGCTACCCGTGACTGTCGTCGATGGCACAGGAGGCATGGCATATTCTCGGCACCATAGGGGGTGCGCAGGGGGAGGTCTTGCACCGCGGCCGCTATCCGTGACTGCCGTCCATGGCGCAGCTTGCGTGGCAGATTCTCGACACCAGAAGGGGGTGCGCAGGGGGTGGTCTCTCACCCCGGCCGCTATACGTGACGGTCGCGCATGGCACAGCGAGCATGGCATATTATTGACACTATAGGGTGTGCGCAGGGGGTGGTCTCTCACCGCGGCCGCTATCCGTGACGGTCGTCCAGGGCACAGCAGGCACGGCAGATTCTCGACACCATAGGGGGTGCGCAGGGGGTGGTCTCTCATCGTATCTGCTACCCGTGACGGTCGCCCATGGCACAGCATGGCATATTCTCGACGCCGCAGGGGGTGCGCAAGGGGTGGTCTTTCATTGGGGCCGCTGTCCGTGACTGTCGTTCATGGCTCAGCAGGCATGGCATATTATTGGCACCGTCGGAAGTGCGCAGGGGGTGGTCTCTCACCGCGGCCGCTCTCCGTGACGGTCGCCATGGGCACAGGGGTATCGGCGGGGCAACGGCCGCCAACATCAGCCTCACATGTTTCATTCCAGCTACCACCACCCCATCCATAATTTAAGTATGTGGCTTTCCTCGGTAGCGTAATTATGTGTGTCCCAAGGTCCCAGTATAATCATGAATGGTAGCCAGCGTGCCCCCAACTCCCAGTAGTGTGCCCCCCATGCGGTGCAGCATCTGTTGTGCACCCGATATGGTTGAATACGTATTGTGTGCAGGCAACGCAGTTAACTATATGGTGTGCAGGCTACGTGGTGCAGCTTAAGTGGTGCAATGTGTGTGGTTCAAGTTCCACTGTGCACTCTGCGAGGTGCAATGTATGTGGCGAATTTGTGGGGTGCGAACTGAATTTTGTGCGTTCCATGGTTTACGTCACATTTTGTGCAAACCACCCGGAGCCATATTTGCGCGTCTCATTATGTTGTGCAGATTATGTGGTGCAGCGTAAGTGGTGCAACATATGACGTGCAAGTGCTGTTTTGCACTCCGCGTGGCACAATCAATGGGGTGTATTTGGCTGGTTTTCGCCATGAGTTGTCATGCCCACTGAAGGCACAATCACCCCACGCACCCACCCAGAACTTGGTTTGCAAAATAGATGTGATGGCGATTGCGGTGAATGCTTGGCGTTGGCTGGCCCATCTCTGCTGCCGCGCCAACCCAATCACGCTCGCGCAGCGGCCAGCTAGTTTGGCGCGGCTGACGCGGCCGCGGTGGCTTTGAGCGCTCGGCGCGCCCCAGCGGGCACTTCAGTGCGAGTCGGCGACTTGGGCGCGGGCGGTATCATGGCAACGTCGGCGACGGTAGCTACGATGATGGTAGTAGCGATGTTGGCGGCGACGTTTGCAACGACGACGGCGCGGCCAGTGCGGGCGCCGATGCTGATCACGCCGACGGCGATGACGGCGTTTTCGCGTCGGTGCTGCAGTTTTTTGGAACAAGTTCGACATGCACGCGCGGCCGACGCGCGAGAGTGGTTCGCATGCAATTATCTGACGCAGACCGTCCCCCCCCAGCACGCGTGCAAGGGCGCGCGAAGGATTTCGGCATGCGGCGCCAAAGGCCCGCCCGTTTGGCAGAATGCCATGAACATTTTCAAAAACCAACGGTGTTCGGAAGGGCCCGCCAGAGCGCGAACGCACGATGTGTTGAGAACTGCCGTTGCGAAACCATGTTTATATATATGTTATCGACATCAGCTTTTGAATCGGTGCGAATACTGATGTTTGTTTGTTTTACGGATGTCGGCATGCACGCGTGACGACGCGCGGACATTTCGTCCCATTTGTTGTAATCAGGAAATTTGGCGATGGCGCGCGCAAGGGCGTTCGAACGATTTTGGCATGCGCTCGCGACGCCCGCTTGGTATTTTTTTCATAATGATTGAGCATCCGTTGGTTTCCCAAGGATTTGCAAGAGCGCGGGCCATTTTTTTTACAGTCAGTGTTGCGAAATGTTTGGGCAGTCGATGTAATCTTTGCGCAACCGAAGGGTTTTGAAGGATTCCGGCACTCGCGCTCGACAGCGCGCGCGTGTGCAATTCGTTTCAATTTTCGCCAGGGATTATTTACAACATTTTTTTGATAAATGAGTGCGCACATAGTATATATCGCGGGTGATGAGGGGTGGGGGTCGATACCGGCTTGGCTTGGATGGTATGGGTTCGTATTCTGGATGGACGATGGGGCAAAATTATGTTTAAATTACAACACGAGCGGGGGGGCGGCTCAATCCGGGGGGGGGGGGCGTACATGTTAATATCGCTTAAGAGCGAAAAAATTAAGAGGGCGACGAGACGGCGACAGCGGCCACATGACCGCCAGACCGACAGACAGGCCCAACCGACGGGCGGCGACTGGGCGGCGACGGTGGCCACATGGCCGCCAGGTCGACAGCCAGCCTGGGACAACGGGCGACGACGACGTGCGACGGGGCGGCGACGGCGGCCACACAGCCGCCAGACCGACAGACAGGTCCAGTTCCTTAGAAAAGAAATCAGAAACCTTTAGTGTAAACACTGTTTGCAAAAATGTCGAGGTCCTTGCGGATTCCTCAGATTGGCGCTGGAGCCCCCTGGCTGCGCTTCCGGCGCCGCCCCTGGCGCGGTCCTCTGGCGCGCTCCGCGCGCTAGGGAAGTGGGTCCAGCGATGGCGCAGGAGACAAGCGAGAAGCTCAAACATTTTCTGCGTTTGTGCTATGATTCGTTCCTCGACTTATAGAATCAAGGGTGGTCGGCTTGAGCAAGCCCGACCCAAAAATATACTCGCTGGCACTGCGGCAGATCGGCTGTCAGGCGAGCGAGGCGATCTTCCTGGACGACATCAAGGTGAACCTAAAAGCCCCTGCACAGATGGGAGTTCACACTATCCTGGTCAGGAACGAAACGGAGTGTTCTTTCCACGAGGCGTTGCGAGAGCTCGAGGTTGTGTCAGGCGTCAAATTGCTGGATGGTAGTACCAACGTTGATGAATTGCCCGCTTCCCGTCTTTGAACTACCCGGCACGAGCTGTGAAAAGGCGATTCGTCGCCCGCCTATTTCGAGGCGTATGGAGGCTTTGCGAATTTGTTCTGGCCAGAAGGCACTCATGGTGACAGGCGCGTGCGTCACGTTATTTGCAACATGTTGCGTCCTTGTTTTCCGCGTTCGTTTCTTCTGGTGCGCGTGTCGTGCGCTTCATTGCACATCGGACCACGTGGTCACGTCGGTTCGGTTGCATAGCATTGGTGTGTTCTTTATGCGTCTCATGCCTGGTGATTCACATCGAAGCAGAAGGGCTGCAGGCGTGTTCATCCCCCCCCCCTGCGACGCTCCCACGGCCCGGCCCGTGCGCTCAGCAACAACAGCGCAACAAGCAACATTCCCACCACCAATTCCTCATTCTGCCATGCGCCCAGGGACAATGAATGACCGCTCGGCCCCCTCACTCTGATTTGTAGTGTCCAGAGCTCCGACCACTCTATTCCGTGTCGCGCCGCACCCCCTCCCCATTCCGCCCCCCAGCCTACCCCTCCCCAGCGTTCCCCATGGGCCCAGTGGAGCCTCCGACCAGTGCCCCCTCCGCCCCGACCACTTGATTCCGCGTTGCACCCTGACCCTCTTTCCCGCCCCCCTTCTGCCCCTCCTCAGCGGCACGGTGGAAGCTCCGCCCAGTGCCCCCTCCGCCCCGACCATTTCATTCCGCGTCGCACAGCGCACCCCCCCCCCCCTGCCCGCCCTCCCGCCCCCCCCCCCGAGCGTCCCCTAGCGGCCCAGTAGAACCCCCGCCCAGTGCCCCCTCCGCCCCGATAGTTTGATTCCGCGTCGCATCGCTCCCACCCCCCTCGTGCCCCATCCCCAGCGTTCCTTCCCCAGCGGCCCAGTGACACCTCCGCCCATGCCCCCTCCGCCCGACCATTTTATCCCGCGTCGCACCGCGCCCCCGCACCCATCCCCGTCCCCCCAGCATTTACCAGCGGCACAATGGAAGTTCCGCCCAGTGCCCCGTCTGCCCCGACCATTTTATTCCTCTTCGCACCGCGCCCTCCCCTCCTACTTCTCCCCAGCGTTTCCCAGCGGCCCAGTGGAACCTCCGCCCAGTGTCCCCTCTGCCCCGACCATCTTTCCTCGTCGCACCGCACCCCCCCTCCCCGCCCCTCTCCTACCTCCCCCCAGCTCTCCCCAGCGACCCAGTGGAATCTCTGCCAAGTGCCCCCTACGCCCCGACTATTTTATTCTGCGTCGCACCTTACCCCCGCCCCTCCCCGCCGCCCTCCTGCCCTTCCCCAGCGTTCCCCAGCGGCCCAGTGGAACTTCCGCCCAATGCCCCCTACGCCCCGATAGTTTGATTCCGCGTCGCATCGCTCCCACCCCCCCCCGTCCCTCTCCTGCCCCATCCCCAGCGTTCCCCTGCGGAACCTCCGCCAAATGCCCTCTCCGCACCGACCACTTGTTTCCGCGTCGCACCCCCCCCACCCTCTCCCCGTCCCCTTTCTACCCATCCCCCCTCCTTTCCCCGCACCCCATACCAACCCGCCCCGGCGTTCCCCAGCGGCCCAGTGGAACCTCCGCCCGCCTAGTGTCCCCTCTGCCCCGACCATTTTATTCAGCGTCGCACCGCGCCCCACCTCCCCCCCCTTCCCCCATCCCCGGCGTTCTCCGGCGGCCCAGTGGAACTTCCGCCGGTGCCCCCCCGCACGCCCCGACACGTTTATTCCGCGTCGCACCGCGCGCCCCTTTCCCCACTCCCCTCGCCCTTGTCCCCAGCTGTCCCCTGCAGCGGCCCATTGGAACCTCCGTCCAGTGCCCCCTCCGCCCCGACTATTTCATTCCGCGTCGCACCGCGCCTTCCCCATCTCCAACCCCGCCCACCACCCAAGCGTTCCCTGGCGCACACTGGAACCTCCGCCCAGTGCCCCCTTCCACCCCGACCATTTTACTCCGCGTCGCATTGCGCCCCGCCCCGCCGCACCCCCCCCCTCTCCCCGCCACCTCCCCCCCGCCCCAGCGGTTCCCAGCGGCCCCGTGGAGCCGCCGCCCAGCGTCTCCTCCGCACCGACACTTTTGTTCCGCGTCGCACCGCGCGCCCCTCTCCCCCGCCCCCCGCCCCCTTTCTCCCCAGCGCTCCCCAGCGGCCCAGGTGGAACCTCCGCCCAGTGCTCTCTTCCGGCCCGGCCATCTTGTTCCGCGTCGCACGGCGCGCCCCTCTCCCCCGCCCCCCGTCTTTTTTCTCCCCAGCGCTCCCCAGCGGCCCAGGTGGAACCTCCCTCCGCCCAGTGCTCCCTTCCGCCCCGGCCATTGTATTCCGCGTCGCACGGCGCGCCCTGCCCCCGTCCCCCATCCCCCCCTGTTCCCCAGAGGCTCAGTGGAGCGCACGGCCCGCCCCGTGCCCCCTCCTCTTCTGCTTCGGGCGAGCCGGGGAGGTTTTTCGGATCCCCTGTCGATGTTTTTCTGGAGGCCTCCTGGGACAATGCTGGAAGTCTTGGAGGCCATCTCGCGGGAGAGGGCCCCTGGAGCTTCTTCGAGCCCGCCCTGTCAGGCCCACTTTGCGGCCCTCGCTGGGCCCTCCGTCTCCGATTTCTCGCACCCCATACCCCATTCCCCGTCCCCCTCCTTCACCTGAGGGTAGGGGGGAGGGGGGAGGCTTGTTAGAAGCACCCCTGCCTCTCAGAAGGCTCGGGCCATCTCTATCGATGTGGGGCCCGCGCCTCCTGCAAAACATTCTCCGGCCGGAACGAGGAGACATCCTCTTTCTGGAGCGTGCCGGGACGCTCCCAGAGCGCTCCGGAGCGCTCTGAGGAGGCCGCGGCGCCCGAGATGTCCTCCACAGCCGCCGGGCCTCAGAGATGGTCGATTTGTCTTCGCCCGATTTCAGCCTCGTCCTTGCTTATTTGTGTTGTTGTTGCTGTTGTTGTTGTTGGTGCTGTTGTTGAACTCTCATTCTTGAAGAATAATTATTGTTGATCCCCCCCACCGGTGCACATTGATTTTTTTCGATTGAAGTGCCACCCCCGGGGCTCGCACCTTGTTTTTTCTCAAGGAAAGTCTTCCTGCTCAAACTGTACCCCTGCCCCCCGGGCTACAACAACAACGGCTCCCGCCTGAGACTTCTTCGATTTTTACTCAG